TTCTGATCCAAGTTTATATTCGCAATGAATCTCTTTTACACGATTAGGTTATTAGAACTATCAAAAATATCTATAACTTAAAATAGTAGAAAGTGAATATTACATCGTTATACACATATATAACAACTCTTTAATTATCGTAAAATCATATTCGTATTTCTAGAAATTATGTCACAAAAATACAGCATTACAAATGCGTCTTGTTTGTGACATCTAACTCAATCCACAAATTAAATGGGTCAAGTTAATTCTTTATCCTATTAAACGCGCACATTGCTAAGAAATATATTACAGAAATATTATTGCAGAAGAAATATTTTCCTTTAGCTCCGGTTGAAACGATTAAAGAATCAATATCCGTCATGACGTTCTCTTCTTTTTCTCGAGTATCGGCGAGTCTCGTTTGTAAAAGAATATTGAGGGCTTCGTACCACGTAAAATAAACTGTTTTTTAGCGATTCGTTTCGAGGATTAACGCTCCGTTAGTCACGACGGATAAAACGACGGGCGGCTCCGCCGCGACGAAATTCCTGAAAGAAGTCCTCAGGGCTGACTCAAAGCGAGTCTGTCGCTCTCGCCAAGGCTCTCTCCTCCATTATTTTCCCTCCTCTGTCTTCCCTGCCGTACCCCCTCCCCCCTCCCCCTTTTCACCGCCTGACCCCCTCTCATCCCCGTCCTTTTACGCGTTACCTCGCTCGCAAAAGTTTCGATCTTGGGTGCTTCACCCCTTTTAATACGATTACCAGCCGATGCGAGTTTGCGTCGCACTCTACGTCGTCTTTGCAGAGCCTGCAGCATCCTCCCCCAATGACGCTCTAGAATTCATTTCGGTTATGGAGCAATTCCACGAGTCGTTGGCAATTTACGAAAACTTGCCGCTTTCCACGGCGCGACCAACCGATCCGCGACGCGGATCTGACAAAAAGCGATGTGAAAGCTTTCGCGAGCACTCCCGCCGAATTGCACGACGGCGCCATATTTGTACACGAACTAATATATATCCCTTCGCATATAGATTGATTCTCTGAGATTTTCAATAATTGTGAGATAATAAAGTTTGATATTTTTTCGAATAAATCGGTTTACGAGAAGATATTCATCGATAAAGAACATTTCTTGTATTTCATGTAGCATAGAAAAATCAAATGTACCATTGTAAATCTGGCTCTCAAATAAAATGTATAATCTAAATAATTGAGAAAAAATGCGATATGATAATTATGATACAAATTAATTTGTAGCTTAAAATAAAGTAAAATCCATAGAAAATACGCTTGCTCTTACTAATGCAATCGATATTTGCTAGCGCACCGCAATAAAGTTTTATATCAAACTTGTAGGTATCTACAGTCTAGGAACCAATAACTTTTGTTTACCTCTGAAAAGTATTATTTTATTACACCGCAGCAACCCGATTTTATTATTGCTCGCAATTTTTATAACCGTGGAAAACTGCGCTCAATTCGAGAGAATCCAAATTATACGCGAGTATTTCAAGAAAAGATAATCGCAAACTACTTTTGAATTTCGACCGTCAATCCGAGCGTGAATTTTCTGACTGTCGGTCTTAAAATCTCGACGAAAATCGTTTCGCCGAGATCGGACTCCTGGTGACAAAAGGGGGGGGGGGGCGAATAGATGCGTCGAAACGGTGCGAAATTACGAGTCCCCCGCCGTTTACTGTGTTTCGCGCGGCGGATAAGTTTGATTGTCGGCGGTTGCAATTTGCGCGGAACATCAGGATCGCGAGGACTGCCGCGCAAAAATGCGCTCAAGATCTGTACGCCACGCGGAAAACTCAGTGAGAAAAGTTTTTATTTCGGCTGTTGCAGAATCGAGTTCTTTCTGTCGACTTTCTCTCTCCGCGCTCTTGCACCACTAGTCGGCAACGCCCGTCGTCTCGTCGTCGTCGTCTTTACCATCCCGAACGTCGTAAAATAATGTCAACGTACGAATCCGCGAGAGAGGTTTACGAACTTCTGAGCGCGCACGAAAGTACATTATTCCCGACGAATGGAAACGTGTCAAGGCGCTTTAAGGCGCATCGCGTAATATTACGTAATCATCTCTGATTTATAGAATACATTTTTGTAGAAAAAATTTTACAAGCATCCTGATTTATCCGGCTTAATTTATAGATGCACTGTAAATAATTTTCAATTATTTTTATATTTACATAAACAAGCATTTGTAATCATCTCTTTACTATTCCAATATTTTATATTTGAATTTTTGGAAATGTGTAATTAAAAATGCACATATGTATATATGTATAATTACAAAAGTATCAGACAGTTTTATAAGCAAAATCGTTTAAATTATGACTGTATTGAATCTTGCGAATAATCTGGCCGTTGTATTAATTAGTGAGATCTATTAATTATTCATGTATTTGACAAACAAAATACAGCTTTAGTGAAAGAGAAGAAGAGGTGTTACAGGTGTATTCAATTTCTTCGAGAACAGGTTTCGTGAAAGTAGAGAAACACGAAAGTCTGTGACATGTCTGCTGTCTTAAATTTAAATTTAAATGGGAAAGATTCAATCTAACGTTCAATGACCCACCTAACAGAAAATAACAAATTGAGTAATGTAATTAGATTAGATAACATATCTAAATGACAAATTTTTGAACAACTCTTTCGAGAATTTAATTAATAGCTAAACATAACTATAATTATATTTTGGATTTAATTTTGATACGGAGAAATTTTATGATTTATTCAAAATTTTTTTAACAAATGCGTGAATAATATAGAAAAATAAACAAAAATATTTTTTACGTCTTGCATTATATTAGTGCACATTTTAACTTTCAAGTACCGGTAAATGTAGAAAAGAAGTTGATTACGAAGGAAACAAGGACCGCAGAGTCGAAAAATTTTCCATAAAGCTGTCGACGCGCTTTCCTTCCGCGGTCGCTGCCGAAGCTTGCACTTGGGGAAGTGGTTGTGAGAAAAAAGAAAAATACGACAAACGCGCGCAGTATTTATAAAGAATCCTAACGACTCCGTAATTAGTGTAATTACCGCCGGTGCCGTGTCTTGCGCGGTCTTAATGCTCGCGTCACTCGAAACGCTCTTCGTAATTCCTTCTAATGTATCTGCAGGCGAAAAAGGGGCGGAAGGACCTGGTCCAACCGAGGAGGAAGGAGACCTCCGGCGCTACGACAGTGCCTGCAGTATCTAGATCGAAGCTACGCCAGTTGCGAACGGGCAGGATCCTTCTCGACGATTGCCAGTGAAAACGGATTACCTCTAATCTCTGACATTAGCTCCCGCTCTGCATCGACCGTGCTTTGCGCGCTTCTACAGGAATATGTCTCCATTTACTTTCTGCTCTTTTTCTCGGCAGCTCGCTCGCGAATATCCGAATAAAAAGGATGACACGGATAAATCTTAGTAGCGCCTGCTAGCGTACTCTTAGTGGAAATCCTTTGGAAACTGCTAATTATGAAAACGCGAGATTTTCCAGCAGCTAAATACGCATTTTATTGTTCAAATCATATGACTGTAAAGAATTTGTTTTTCAACTTCCAACTTTAAGAGTAGTTTTCGATAATTAATGTCTACGAAAATAAAGTTAAATTATTCTTATTTAATTTCTCTATTTATCGATTTATATTCATTAATTTATTATGCAGATTTTATGTAGAAATTTTATGTAAAAATTTATTTTCTTTCTATAAAAAGCGTTTATATTTGTAAAAGTAGATTAAAAGACAGGTAATGCATCATCAGTCGTAATGATATTCACTTATGCTTGAACTATGCCCACTCCATGGGAATATTGGATCGTTGTGCGGTAAGTCCAATTAATTCTCAAGTAAGGAAATTAGGACTACGACTGTGAAATGGCGCCCGGTTCTCTCACAACGCGCTCAACGAGACGTTGCTAATTGTCGCCGTATGGTTACCGATTTATCGCTCTAGACTAGCGCACGTCTAAACTGTAAGTAAAAGAGCAATTACCGGTTGACCGCGACAAATAAAGCAGCCAGAAAGATATTAACGCAGGTTGTTATAATGTTAGGCAACGCGTCTCCCATGCTTATCACAGCAAATTCCGTTATGAAAGAGATTTGCGGTAAACGCATTGTTACTTTTTCGAAATAATGGAGACGCGGAGCATTAAAAAGATTAATTGTCATTTTATACATTTAATATAAAGAAAGAGTATTTAATGTAAAGAAAAAGCATTTTTATATAAAAATGCATATGAATGCAATTTTACGGCCTGTTAGATATTATTATATTTATTACACTTTTATAATAAAAAAATAACGATTTGCACTTATATCTGGTTTTTATTGAAAATTCAGTGGTTGATAAGATTGTATAATTCCGAACATGCTTGGTAAAGCGTATTTGCATATTGTATACATATGGACTGTTATATGCCGCCTATTGAAAACAATCGTGTTACGTGGAAATGACATTTCCAGATACCCAAAAAAAAAAAAAAAATCGTTGGTGATAGCGACCGTACAAGTGTAGTCCAATTAACAAAACTTGCTATGACGACCCACAATGGAAACAATAAATCTTTTCAGTCGCATCATATTGACGAACATGCAGACAAAAGCGTTATTTCTATTCTAGTTGTATAAAAAATTTTGATATTATTTTTAAAATATTCGCACGTTTTTGTTTTCCATAGTATGCAAAAGTGTATGCATAAATCGCAAAGTTCTTTTCGTAAATATATCGAGAAACTCAAATCTGTTAATTAATCAATTTTATGATTTGAGTTAAGTAACCGGTGTCAAAGTAACTTATGAATATTCTTTTCGCGAATTTTCACTCAGCCCATCTTCTCTCAAACATTTTCGCTGCATGGCCACTTATGTAACCGAGGAAGCTTAAGAATTTTAGAATGTGATGGGTCCAGATCAGAGGGCGTGTTGCAGCGGATATTTAGTGAAAGTAGTTATGTGGTCTGGCGTATAAAAACCGACGAATCGATGACATGAAGCACATTCGGACTTATCTCCTCATAGCATGTTCACCATGAAGGCGTTCTTAGTGAGTAGTAATATTTTTCGTCAAATTTTTTGTTTTCAGAAGTTTGAGTAGCCACAAGTGCATAGTAAAATAAAATTCCAATATATGTTTGTCAGAAGAAATAAGTATATAAAAAAAGATTTTAACTTGTTCAATTGTTTATTGTAATTGTAAATAAATTGTTGTAATATGTTCTATATATGATTAAGTAATTATATCATTTTTACCGTAATACTTATTTTTGTTTAATAAATAGTTATGTCACTTTTTTACATATTAATTGGTTAATTAATATTCTACCAGTTATAGATTTATCTCAAGTAATATATATATATTTGCTTACATTTTTTGTAAGTCATGATGATGCAGTGCTTTTATATTTTAATATAAAAAAATTAATATTATGATTATAGATTTTGTAATGATATTCGCATAGTTTTATAGTTTACAGATCTCAAGAAGAAATATTAATGACAAATCTATCTACTTCTAGGTTTCGTTGTTGGTTGTCTCCGTTATCGCCGGTGATGCGACGGAGAAGAAACATGAAAAACGTGGTCTTCTGCACGGAGGGTCGCCGATATACGCGAGTGGACACGGCGGCTTTGTACCAAGTCTCCCTATTGACCACGGCAACGTTGTAGTGCACGATCATGGATATGGACATGGACCCGGATATGGACATGGACCCGGATATGGACTCGGTCATGGAGTCGGACTTGTAGAAGGACACGGTCATGGAGTCGGACTCGTAGGAGAACACGGTCATGGAGTCGGACTCGTAGGAGGACACGGTCACGGAGTCGGACTCGTAGGAGGACACGGTCACGGAGTCGGACTCGTAGGAGGACACGGCCATGGAGTATACGCGTCAGGTATCGGCATCGGACCTGGATATGGACTTGGATACGGACCTGGATACGGAGCTGGATACGGATCTGGATACGGATCTGGATACGGATCTGGATATAGACCTGGACACGTGCACCATACGCATATCGTGAGTCGCGTTGTTCCAGTACCGGTTCCCGTGCATCATCCCGTTCCCATCACCCGCAAGGTTCCCGTGCCGGTACCGCATCCCGTTCCTGTCGAAGTGAAACGCCCGGTTCCCGTTGCGGTGCCTCATCCGGTTCCAGTCATCATCAACAGAGCTTATCCCGTGAGTGTGCCCCGCCCGGTTCCAGTGCCAGTTCCGCATGCCGTGCACGTGTCGCACCCGGTGCCACACCCGGTTCCAGTTCCGCATCCGATCCCGGTATCGATCAACAGACCAGTTCCGGTACCGGTTCATCCTCTACCTCTTCCTCAACCTCTACCGATTAATCACGAGTATCCCTTTCACCTCTCTCCTCAACCCGTCAATCCAATTGGCATCGCGCATAACGATATAGGAGCTAGCGCGTTATTGGACGGCGGACACAGTTCCGGGCTTACTGTAAGCGGTGCCCTCGTGTCTGGTGATTCCGCGGGTTTCTCTTCTGTTCATCCAGAACTACATCTGAGCGCGGCGAGCGATCTGAGCGACGACGGATATTCGTATCCGATTCCGGGGAAGAAATTAATCTTTTAAGCTAAGTACTTTAAGAAATCTGTTACAAGCGACGTCTCGATTTGCACGTCGACGCGATACATCTACTGTTTTCGAAATCTCAGATATATGACACGCGGCTGGCACGAGTCACGCCACACCCATTTATCCCGCGTTTCACTTGATATTTATGAATTCGCGCGCAGTGGAGAGTCCGCGAGGTCGTGGCCCCCGATTAAAATTTCGCCTAAAACCGCAAAACGAAAGGGATCAAGACATATATATTAGCATTTACTTTCGCGCTGTCGACGGCGACAAGGGAAAGAGAGAGTGTTGCATTTTGAGGGCGTGAAAGTAATATGATACCGAGGAGATGAATAATTACACGAGGAGTGCGATGGAGATAAGAAATACGAGAATCTATTCAATATTTCCTGTTATGGTAATCTGGCACGAGAAGAAGAAGATTGCACAATTCTCTTAAAATACCTATATTGTTTGCACGTTTACAGCTGTATTGTATTTCAAGCAGAATAATACGATCAAAATCGATATTATTTGTAATTATTTCTTCGTCTTTTGTCTACGAAAATATACCAAGAAACGCATAATTCCGTCGCAGATTATACACAAACATTCGCATATTATATAAAAACAACAAATATAATTATAAATAAATTCAAACAAGTAGCTGTGAGCGCAACTCTGTAAACTGTTTCGCATGTTAAAGAAAAAATAAATCTCAAATTATTTGATTTGTTAATTTAACTAACATTATTTCTTCTTCGCACACTTTATATCCTTGACACGATATCCTTTGTATATTCTTGAATGTTCTCATAAATAATATAGCTACACGACACGATTCTGCGGGTACGAGATACGTGAGTGGATTTACCCCGATTCGAAAGTGATTAAAGTTGCTACTTCCTTACCCGCATCGTATCCCAAATTGCCGAAACTTTGACCTTGTGCTTTAGCAGACTCAACGACCACCTAACCATTTCGTACCATCTCTGGCTGTAATCTCGTGTCTATACTCGAAAAAACCTTGATTTGTTTTTTTCAATTTGTATTACATGTTCGAACGAGTTCAATAAGAGAAATATCCCAAAGAAATTAAATAATCAACATAAAATAATAAGAATTATTAACAAAATAGAGGTTTCTTTTATCGTAGTAAATACTTGAAAAAATAAGAGTAAAAATTTACAAACATTTACTTTTGCTTTACCTATGTAAATAATAAATTAGAGAAAATGTGTAAAAATATATATATATTATATTTTAAAACAATTTTGTTTCTACCTTTTAACAGAAATATTTGCTTCTCTTTTACTTATACAACCCATAATTTACCGCCTATTTTATTTATTCTCTTTATTAATGAATAGTTCTATGCAAATTAGAATTTTTAATTCGGGTTAGCTTAAGTTCACCTATATGTGTACAAAAAATATATTAGCATCTTATTGCCAATTTCTTCATTTTAGCAAACTTCCGCTTCGTCTCGCATAGAATAACCTAGGATGGTTGTGTACTTTTTCAGTTGCCTACCGTCATCTTCGTAATGGTATCTGTAGTCATAGAAGACGTACGTGCCTCGCTCACGGCAGAATCCTACCCACCAAATCCAAAGTAAGCTACTAGATCGACCTTACGTATAGAGGGAGTCCCAAAATCATATTTGAATAATAAATAATTTCAGAAAATGTCATAGAAGTAGTGACAAATTTTAAATTTTAAGTCATTAAAAATTAAAGAATTTTGTAAATTAAATGTTATTCAAATCTGAACAAAACAAAATCTTGCTCTCTTAAAAGCATTTTAAGAGAATTATATTTAAACAGAATTCTAATATAAAATATAATTTCTAAAACATTTAATATAAAAATTAAATTATTTTAGAATAAGTTGTTATCAGTTATCTCATTTTAAATCTTCATAAAAAAAAAAGATATCATTAAGATATGTTACTTTGAGACATCCGGTATACAAAAGTATGTACAAGTACAACGCACATGTTCACGCAGGTTTTCCTCGAAAACTCCACATGTTCCGCAACACATCTGCACATGCACTTATATATGTATGTGCTTCCTTTCCTTTTCCCGCTGGAAAACCGGCAGTCACGCACTATTTTACGACTTTCGCCGAGCTTCTGAATTAACCCAAGCTTTTCCGGGTACAAGGGTGGTCCTTTATGCACCCCGTCCAGAAATGAAGTGCATTCCTTCTACCTACGACTAGGATTACGATGTCGTTAAACTGCCATCCCTAATATCACTCCAAAGTCCATCTCTTATGATTTTCAACAAAGTAGTACGAATTATGTAAAGATACTGCAAATTTGTACACGCGAGTCTATTTGATATGTTAATATTCGCGGAGCTTTAACTATTTTCATACTTGAAGAATTCAGCTATCAATGTTCCATATAGTTTCATGTTTGGTAAGAAATATTTCTCCAGATTTGCAATAAATGTATTTTTGATTTACATTTCTTAAAAAATTTTGTGCAAAAGAAAGAGAGAGAGAGCTGAATATTGTGTACAAACGACCTAATTTACATAAAGTTTGTTGACGACAAATATAATTAGTGCGTGTGCATATACATATAATTTAATAATTAATATATAGGTAAATTGCTGGGAGTAAAGGAACACCACCCTCGCGCGCCATTATAACAGTTGGAACGTTATTTAATTGCCAAAACGCGACAGCCTTCGCGAATCCAAAATGTGCGGAGCGCAGCAGGAGCGGAGCTAATTGTGAGCATTTATCTAATGTGAAGGATTTACAGACGATGTAAATTTATTCGCGAGACCCTCGCTTAATTACGCAGATTCCAAGGCATCTCTCGCAGCACCCTCTCGCGCTACGTAAGGCGCGCGCCGGGAAAAACAGAAATTAGTCTCGTGTTACGGGCTGCCAGGATATTTGCAGTAAGTAACGTTTTCATAGAACGGTCCCGCTATCATTATCATTTACTGCGCGCGCTTTACGATCCATCATTAAACGTATCCTAGAGAGCAGAATTCTTTTCATGGGCTGCGCTTTATAGTATACTTTTAGATACATGCGGAATTGGGCTCCGTATTCGCTGTTTACGAGCGCAGCCTTGAACGATAAATGTCACAAAATTATTCGAGGGAAAGCAACGAAAAACGCCGGACGCGTACCCGTGGATGCTGTACCGCGTTCTTTTTTGGGTGAAATATCGGCGTGACGATAAATCGCGCGCCCCGTCCGGGATTCGGAGCGCGAGTCGCGTAATGTAGCAGAACGAAGTCGAAAAATTGTTGTTGCCACAATGCCGCGACGGTGCAATCTGGACCGACAAAACGTGTACCGTAAAGTGTTAATGACACGAGATGAAAACTGCTCGTCTAGCCGCGGTGAATCACCTTGAAATATGACGAACACCTTAATTACAATATCGTGCCCCATCTGGACGTCACGTAGCGGTCAGGCAAAGCGACGCGCAAAGATCCGCGCGGCACAACAATCTTTTCTCTTGAATTTTATACGAGCAACAGTGTGGCTGATATATGCGTATAACGTTTATAAAGTCATATGCGCTGTTGCTTTTTTCTAAACGGCTGGCCGTTTTAAGTTCGGGACGACTCGTTTGGATTTTATGTTGGGACGCAAACCTGCTATTTACGATCGCCGTTTTGTAGTATCGAACGCAGCATTTTCTTCCTCGATCGCAGTCAAACGAATCGGCAGTTAACGTCGATATTTTTAAGCGTTTCAGCTACTTTCGGTCCAAGCTACTACGGTAGTTTCTTTTCTTTTATCGTGATATCGACCTCGAAGATGACGCAGCGATCACCATGCGTAACCGCAGCTGCAAAAACTGTGCGAAGTCGCAGTTCTGGTTGCAGCATCACAGGCTTTGGCTATATATTTCGTGGCGAACAGTATGTGTCGTTTTATTGGTTGTTTTGAAACGGTAAAACATATCGTAAACACGCCGTCACTGGATTCGTAAACAATGAAACGGCAGCCATAGAAAGTTACAAGATTAAACGCCAGCTGAAGCATTCGATTAGAATTTATATCGTTATACAAGCACGAAATATCGTGTAGACGACGTGAATATGATATACTACTTTTCATCCTGCTAAAAACAATAAACGAGCCAATAAATAAATCTTGCTTCACGGATTATTTTCTAACAAGCAAACTAACAAGCTAACGCTACTATTCTAACTTGCAAATTATTTTGCTATTTCCTCACGTGAGAATTTATTTAATGCGCGATCCTTTATCAATATATCTACATATATACACCGACAAATTATAAATTCTTGCTAGCGTCGTGTCTTGTCGACGGACCGATTATAGATAAGCCGAGTATCTAACCAGAATCCGGCAGGACCCTACGTTTATCCTGCTCTGTATGCGCTAGCCGTTCTTGGAGGTCATGCTTTATCATATTCAGCGGACAATGGTCGGATAACTAATCTCTCATACTCTTATTCGTAAAATTAATGACCTGCTAATGACTAACAAAAATTAGATTCGTAATTTATAAGAACGGCATCGAATCATGATATATTGAAAATCACATTGCACAATCTGACACATCACACGGATTCCACCATAATGTTTTAATTTTCTAGAAAAATATTTTCGTGAACATATATGTGCTGTTTGTGCCATCTGACAATTTTTATTAAAATATCTGTGGATTATAACATATATCCGAGTCCACATATCGTGATTACGCAAAATTTCGTTGGCATAAAGTATTTTAATGAAATCTCATCATGCCATTTGATATCGATAACGAACTCAAAGAGATTTTGATAACATTGCTTACTCCGTGTAATTAGAGGTATCGAAATATCGCTAAAATTTGTCATAATATTATAAATATTTAGAGCATCTCTGAAACAGTTGGCGACCGATGGAAGCTTTATTTCGTCGTTTCACAATAATTCGCAGTATTGCGGAAACGAGTTAATATATTGACAGGTGACTCGTCTTCCGATCTCATCCCTCTGCTTCGAAAGCAAATTACTCGACCAAAGCGAGGAAATAGCGAGGGTTGCATTGAAAGGGTCCTTCCTGTCCACGACACGCGATGTCATATCACGTTATTGAGAGCTACTTGTCACTCCCTGCTTTGCCGTCATATCAGGATGGGTACGTCCGTGCCGATCATTCAATTAATTCGGACCTCACGCATATATCGGTGATCATCGTTCGCGAGTTCCACGCGACTAGCATTGTCATTTAATAGAGATTTTACGGAGTAGTGCGCGCCATCGATTTTTGTGTTCGCATTTTTCAGAAACTAGACGCAGCAAGTGTTTTACGCGAGCAATTAAAAGCTTAATAATGCACATATATCCGATAAATATAAGATTGTACACGATAACACTGTACGCTATTATTTTATTACTAAAAAATGCTTATCTTGCATCACATGATACTCGTCGAATATCATGTTGGGATGAAAAGCTAAAAAAAACTATCGGCCGCTCCTATCGTATTCACTATCCCAGTACAGGTTTCGCTCGAGCGTAATGTAATAGCATGTAGAGCTGACACGCCGGCTATTTGAGTGGCAGCGTGTTGCAGATTATTGGCCTCGTAGGTCACAAGCCTCGTACTATTGCCGTTAGGCGTTCATTTATAAATGCCACAATTCTGACAAAGGCACTGATTACGATTCTCGCAGATAGTCATCGATACTAACTTTCCTTCAACGATCGTGATGACTTCTGAGCGATCACGCAATACGGGCTTACGAGAAAATTAGCGTTTTCTCGGCTTCTATCTTTCATTTCATGAAATGATATCATTTTAATACGAAAATCAATTTCGCGACGCTGTCTATATTAAAATATATTCCTTAATCTGGCTTTTCGCGCTAAGGTCGACATTCATTTAATAAAATTTGACCCTGTCAGAGGACTTGAATCACATTCTAAATAATGTAATGTAATCATTAATTTCTAAATTTCTCTTAATATTGCACAACTATCATATTGTATAATAGAGTTTTTGCGATAAAAATATCTGCCAAAATGTCAGAAACATGAGTTGCGTTATGAAATATTCTGATCAAGATAATAGTTTAACACATCTTCTCAAATATCAATTACTTGCTCCTTAACATCTTTCTTTAATATCAATAAAGACTTGTGTTATTAAATGTAATCAATTTCCACAAGAATGAGATAAAATTTACAAAACGAGAGTTTGAGTTTTCTCATTTGGAGCCCAAGAGAGCTCGAAATTCAAGGAAATCTAAAATCTAAAATTTTAGCGGAAGATTCACGAAAGGTGGAGTTTCCTTGCAGGATTCTATGCTCACCACCGCGCCGGCTGTTGCATCCTGACATAGCGGCGCGTTGCCGGTACTCTCGCCGGCTGAAATCGCACGTTTGCGCGAACAGTGGGGATCAAGAAGCCTCTCGGTGGGGAGAGGACGAGTCTCGCAACGGCAGTGGGGATTGCTGAAGAGTAGACGAGTGGGGCTCCCTCTGGCGAGTGTCTCGTGTCAGTCGAGCCGTGTGCCGCGTCGCGGTAGTGTCGTGCGGTAGTGTTGCGTTTCGCGTGTCTCGCCGAACACCGACGATGACGTCTTCCTTGTTCCAACTATGAACGGTGTACGTTCATGACGAAGATCAGCGGGCACGCCGTCCCCGTTAACGTCGTCGTCGTCGCCGCCGGTGTTGTCATAGTTTTTTTTTTTATTCGCACGCGGACCGGTTTGGAGAAGTCGCGCGCCGATACCTGAACCTGAAGGAACCCTCGTCGTTCGTTGTCGCTTCGTTTCGAACCTTCGAAACCGAATGTGATCGCAAGACCGGATGCTTTCGAACGGACGATCGTTTTCCATTCTATTCGTGTGTCCGTACGCAAGGGGGAAACTTCAACGCGTGGAACAGCCGACCGTGACCGTCGCGAGTGACTGCACGAGATTCTTTAAACAAGAACTCGTCGAGTTACATTTTCGATCGGATCGAACCGATCTTCGTTGCGCAGGAAATCGTCGAGTTACATTTCGAAAAAAAATTTGGGCTACATTCTCCGAAGTCGTCGGTGAGTGGCGCGCTGCGTGTTTGTCACATTTGCCGGTTGTTTTCCTCGCGTTCTCGGTACTGCTTGTTTTCGTCGCGTTCTCGGCACCGGTTGTTTAGTGCACATTCGTGAAAGCAAATAACTAAAAAGACTCGTCGATCTATCGCGTGGATAAAAGTTTCGTCGCAAATTTCATGGTCGTTAAGGGAAGCGAATAGGAAGATCATTTTCAGATTCAGCCGAGTTTTGTGATTTTGAGATCTCGATTTCGATCTCACGTTGATCTACGATTGTCTTCCATTGAAAAACGACGGATTCGACAACCGTATTTCACGTCGCTCTTGCGAGTCTTCACGACGGGGATCATCTAGACAGCGTGGATCACCTAGATTTATCCTTGCCGGACGTTTCGAGCTTCTTCGAACAGTGGATGAGACTATCAGTTCGTCTTCTCACGTAGTGCGCGCAACGACACACGGAAATCGCGTGCCATTTTCTCGATCATCGATCATCAATCTTGCAAGTCCCGGTGACACAACCAGCTGATGAGTCCTCACGAGTGCGCGATAGAACGAGGTCACTTTAATGAGATACACTCTGCCAAAGGTTCTCGCTGAAATAGATCGAGATCTGATTGTCAACGTTTACTATTTAACTCTGCGCTCGGGAGCGAACAAAAAGCGTGCGGAAATTCGGATTCCGTGAAACGATTGACGTATCGACGACGGCAGGCACGACGATTCCGATTTGATCGCCCGTACATCTCGTAATGAGCCGAAGAACGGTGCATGTCGAACGGCGAGCGTGACCGCCGCAAATCGCCGTTCCCCCCGCGCGTTCCTGGGTCGTCGGTCGCCAAAGCGACCCTCGTTAATACCGCAGCCGATTGTGAAGGAGAATGTCACGCTAGGGAGCGGGTCCGATTTATTCGCTGAATCGACTGAATCGAGTTTCGACAAACCACGCGCCCCGATGGACGTTACATCGTCTGGAAGGCGGCCTCGCGAGATGGTAGCAGCCAAGTACAGCGGATAAAAGCACGCGCGCGCGGCGGCGCGGAATCGTCTAGCGAGGAGCAACGGTGAGAAAAGGCCAACGAAGAAGAAGCGCGGGGTAGGAACCGAGTAGTTTTAAAAGAGCGAGCAAGCGGGGGCGCATTCGGGCCCACGCGTGCACAACGAGAAAGAGAGCCGAGATGACCATGACGAGTAATATTGTGGTCGAGTGGCTGCGGTCGCTCCACCTCGGCCAGTACTCGGAGTCGTTCATCGACAACGGCTACGACGACCTTGAGATCTGCAAGCAGATCGGCGATCCGGATCTCGACGCGATCGGTGTCTTCAATCAGAAGCACCGCGCCCGCCTGCTGCAATCTGTGAAGACCCTACGCGAGGAAGGCGCCGCGAGTGTGTATTTCACGCTGGAGGAGACGACCGACAACAACTGCGACAATGTCAGCTCGAAGTCCTCGAGGACATCGTCCGAGAGGCCACCCAGCGACAAAGAAGCGCAGCGAGCGTCGCCCACGGCCAGTTCGTCCAGCGGCGGTCAAGAGCTGACAAAGTTCGCGGACGAGTATGAGGAGGGTAAAGCTGAACTAGTGAGAATTCCCAGGATGCAGTTAAGGATGCTGCTGCAGGAGAAGCTGAGACACGATGGCATCAGACTGGCCTGTCAACCGTACACTACACCGGTAAGTCAATTTACTACAGAAAGAAACTTTGTCGTGATACGTGAAAGAGCTGCCGGAAGTATAAATATTCACGAATATCGTGGATCGTATTAAAATTTTACGAATCTTTTGAAATATTTATTGGAAATGGCATAACGTATGCAACGCTGTCCGTTAATTTGTAATTAGTTTAAACCAATGTTAATTTATATAATTTATTTTTAAAAAATTAAAAAATGTTGCCCGAAAACACATCTTTAAAAATTAACGTTTGTACGAAACGCAATGTGCACGTACGTTAAATTTATAATACAAGTCTGAAGCGTATGCAACATGAATTATTATGTAAATTAATTTACATATTATAATAATGAAAACGATATAATTATTATGTTTATTGTACATACCATAATGAAACAGATATTGCTTAATAGTTTCAAGAAATTTTTTTTTTTTCAAGGAATATTATTTCAAGAACTTTGCATATTTTTTTACAATAACATGAATAAGTAATATTACACGGATTATTTTAAATTACACTAACGACAGTGTTACAATTGCTTGATTTTCACGATATCGACAATACGTCGAAAACATTATACCATTTTCCATACCATTATACGTTATTCCATTTTCCTCACGTTACTCACGTCGGCGGACACGCATCACTTTTAATACATTACGATTAGCCACGACAATGATACTCGAATTATCGAGCCATCGAGCGAGCACTCAGGTGTGCCAGTCGCGAGGAGGGTACCTGAGACGAAGATAATGCTGAAAACTCGTAGTCCTCACATGGCACGCCCTATAAGCGTAGATAATCCCCTGATTCATTATTTCGTTGCATTAGCTACTAACTCGAGATAAGAACAAGCATACTATACTTTACCATGTGCCTTCTTATCTTCTTTTAACCCTCAAACTAGGTCTGATCATATATCACATCTTTACTTTTCTTACAAAATTGACTCCCCAAAAAATTTAATGATATCAAAGTCACGAAGTATGATATTTAATTAAATTTTTGATGGAAAAAACCGTATTATTTTTCAACATTATTGCAACTTATTCCCTTTCAACCCATGTATGTATATATAGTTGTAATATTACTGCATATCTGCTTCACCCTTTATCATATATGCAGTGCGCGGTAAGAAATACGACTTTGTTATATCTATAATATAGTGCAAAACGTATTCCATGCAGATGGTCTAATTAAAATACTGAAGTGATAAGCTCGCTAACAGACTTTTTGTCAGTTGAAATATGTTTTCTCTGGAAAATGTTCACGTGTGTTGCACGTGTAAAAGCAATTCGGGGCAAATATCTCGAAAGAAATATAGTGAGAGCTGCATATTCGAATGTTAAGTTTTGTAAAATTGTCGTGGATATGGAAAAGAGAAATATAATATATAGAAAGATTAAGGTTCTCTAAGTGAAAAAAGTATAAGAAGGAAATAAAAAGCGCGTTTTTATTCCTCGCTATTGCAATTCAGCGCGATAAGAAAACAGCAATGTTGAATGAAAGGCAAGTAGAAAACATCGCACCGAATTGTAGTATTAAAAAAAAATAAAGCTCCTTGATATTTTAACGAAACACATAGATTTTCATAAAAGAAGGAAAAAGAATCCGCATGGGAAGAAGAAATAGTAATCACTAATGCATGGATTAATCAATATTTACGGTGACACGGTGAATTGGAATCATACATATTTAAATATTAGAAATCGATTTTTCTCTATTCATTATTCCATTATTTTTGTTGACTTCTTCGCAAATAAATAAACCTTAGATCCGTATATGTGGAGAATATTTTTATACGCGAATGCAGATACCAAATCGTAAATAGATGAATAAAAAATGCGCAAATATGGAGCTTCACTACATTCAACACAGTGTGCTTAACAAGTACGTATGTTCTTAACGTAGTTAAGTTGTCCCACCGAGATTTCGATCCCCATAACTTCGTTGACGGAGTTGCATGTACCGTAAGGATACAAGTCCTGTATGCTCGAAGCACGTAGTTCCAAAGCGGGATAGGTACGAGCGACTACGAACGTAGTGAAATCGCGAATGATCGATAAGGTCAAATCATAAGATGCACCGAGGACAATATTTTCGTTAGAATCGAAGTCTGATAAATAAGATAGAAAATGGATTTAATTACAACTGCTGTTAAAAGTTCACATAAGCAGGTGACTTTGGCGCATTCTTTTTTATCGTTTATTCGTTGGTAAGGAGCGAGATCAAGATGAAAAATTTAATGCACATGTAACTGCTTTTCATACTAACTCGCCTAGCTCAAAGTTATTTCATTTTTTTTTATGTCTTTCGCCATTTTATGGCAGCAAGAACGTACGAGTGCATGTAAAAGTACATAACTTCTGAAAAGTGGCTTTCGTATATATAGAATATGACAAGCACGAAGGGTAGAACATTCATGAATTGAAGCTTTTTAACACAAAATTAATGCATTTTATGAGAAGAGTAGAATGAGTTATGTAATTCCGCGTTTCGTGTTGTACTAATAATTTTAATTTGAATAATTTTACCATATACAAACTCACGTTTTTCGTGTTTTATTCACACATATCTGTTTTTGAACTGAACGCATACTTTGTATTTTTATTTGCAAACTTTATTCGATGGATTCCTTCGATAAAATTCTTTATCTGTAATGTATTTCATTACTCAACATAAAACGAAACGCGTGTGCGCGCTATTAATTGGGCATTGGAAATAAAAATGACACGCGCCGAGTGACAATTTCGAGAATGATTAGTCATGCGCTCGTTATCAGAGTTATAAAGCCGCGCTGCTTTATCGTTCTGGAAACAGTTTAAATCCTCGCTTTGTCGCTAATGAGTCAGAGAACGCGCGC